GGGAGGTGGCAGGTGAGAAGTAGTGAGGAATGGAAGAGTCAATGAATGGGTGACATCTAAACGGGTAGATGTTTCTCAAGAAGGTACTATAGGAAAGGAACCAAAGGGGTAGGAGAATGTGGTTTGAGAATGGGGTGTATGAAATAGTGAATTCAGCTGTGATGCCATTTCTGACCAAGTTCTATACAAACAACAGGGGGTAAACTAGGGCTAATGATATAAACTAGAACAGTTACTGGTAATTTTTTTCTATTCTTCTCTTTTCAGTAGAGCCTTGAAAGACTAAATTCTATTTCTAATATAATTTACAGAACCTCTATTTGAAGATACTGTTTGGTTTTTATTTTAATGTTTTTTTTTTTATGAGAGAGAGAGGGAGAGAGAGAGAGAGAGAGAGAACGTGAGCTGGCTGGGAAGGGGCAGAGTGAGAGAAGGGCACAGAATCTGAAGCAGGCTCCAGGCTCTGAGCCATCATCAAAAAGCCCAACTCAGGGCTTGAACTCGTAAGTCAGGAGATCATGACCTGGGCCAAAGTCCGACACTTTACCTACCGAGCCATCCAGGCACCCCTGTTTTGTTTTGTTTTTTTAAAGTAACTATCCAAAACTTTCTTTAATTATTTTAGCTATAATTTTTCTTAAGGAAAGGAGCATTATTTATAACTGAGTTCTCAAGATTGTGGCAGCAGTATAGAATCCTGTGATATCTAAATAATGGGCTCTTTTAAAAAAGGAATTTTGCATTTTTTCACCTCTCTAATTATTTGTATTCATGAATGCAAATGAGCCAAATCTGTGAGGACTAAAGATATCATTGGATTAAATTATATGAATTTAAAAAGTAAACATTAGTATGATAGGGGAACTAGCTAAAAGTTATTGTAACTGTGAAATCATAGGCATAACATATGTTATTTTTATCATGTGAAATTAATGTGATTATACAAAATACCTTCTTCAATCATTCTCTAAATCTGCTATAATCTGAGAGAAAATATAAACTCTACTAATAAATTATTTTGTCTCAACCCGCTAATATGATATCAATTGGATTTAAAACAACTCGCATGAAGACAATGGATATCATAAAGTCAATATAGAGAAGAGCAACATATAAGCACAATTCACATGGACATTTCTTCAGAAAATGGTAAAATGCCAGTTGCGTAAGAAAAATACATTTTCCCATTGTATAGGGAGAGAGCAACAAGTTATTCTTCTTTTAATAAAAATATGACCATTTACACAGTAAGTGTGGGTGATTTGGAACATATTTCTTTGCAGCACCTTACTGGGAACTAGGTGGTTGATTTGGCATGGGAAAACTGGAATAAAAGCCAAGAAACTGAAGCAGGAAGCTGAAATATTATTGTTCAGTCACTGGAATTTAGAATAATTATGTTTTTTTATCTCAAATTATTTTTAAGAAGGCATATAAGTTAATAAAACATTTAAATACATGTATACTTCCAAGTTATATATATATAATAAGGTCAAATGATAGTGCACTTCCATATCAGAGAAAACGATAACATCATGGTAATAGAAATTCAGGGAAACTAACAACCTTGTCTGATTTGACCAGACCATGGTTCCCAATTCTAGGAATCTTGCTCAATAGCATCATTTTTTGGCATAGGTTCCGTACCATTTGATGCATAAAAACAAAGCAAAGCAAAACAAAACAACAAAAAACATCCCTGTGTTCTTCCAATGAAATGGTGCTATTTGAAACAAGAACTAGAAGTGTGTATAAATATAGGTATTCTTTGGGTCGCCTGGGTGCCTCAGTTGGTTGAGCATCCAACTTCGGCTTGGGTCATGATCTCACGGTTTGTGGGTTTGACACCTGCATCAGGCTCTGTGCTCACAGCTCAGAGCCTGGAGCCTGCTTTGGATTCTGTGTCTACCTCTCTCTCTGCCCCTCCCTGACTCATGCTCTGTCTCTCTCTGTCTCTCAAAAATAACTAAACATAAAAAAATTTAAATATATATATATATATATATAGGTATTCTTCTTAAGAAAGTAGACCTTTAGAGTCATTATCTCATAATGGTGTTCAACGTGATCTTCCTTTATAGGAATTAAGGACATACTGGCCATTCATTACCAGTGTGTTATTATTGTCATTATAAATCCATTAGACATATTCAGGGGAGTTGAATAGCAGCCTTGTGACCAAATTGTCCTTTTCTTGGTTGTAACATAGCATTTAAGAGAATACAAATTGTTCCCTATTTATTTTTGCCTATGGTAAAAATTCTAAGAAAATGTAAAAGTCCTCTCCTTGCCCTGGATATCAACAGAAGTATTGGATATAGTGTTTTAAGTTGTTGCATTTTGTCGTTTATTATACTAACCAGTAAAACACAGCTGTATCTAATAAACTCAGTAGTAATAGTTATTGAATTTAGAATATTCTACCCCAAATATAAAGTTGCCTGGGGAATGTGAAGTGGGCAAAGAGATCTAATGCTTTTTTTTTCTTTCAATTTATTTATTTATTTTTTTTAAATTTTTTTTTTAAATTTATTATTTCTAGGAGAGAGAGAGAGACAGCGTGAGCAGGGGAGGGTCAGAGAGAGAGGGAGTCACAGACTGAAACAGGCTCCAGGCTCCGAGCTGGCAGTCAGCACAGAGCCCGACGCGGGGCTCGAACCCACGAACGTGAGATCATGACCTAAGCGAAAGTCGGACGCTTAACCGACTAAGCCACCCAGGCGCCCCTCTTTCAATTTATTTTTGAAAGAGTGAGAGAAAAAGGGGTGGGGAGGGGTAGAGAAAAAGAGACATAGGATGAGAAGGAGGCCCTACACTGATAGCAACAAGGATGATGTGGGGCTCGAACTCATAAACCCTGAAATCATGACCTGAGCCAAAGTTGGATGCTTAACTGACTGAGCCACCCAGGTGGCCCAGAGATCTAATGTTTAATAAGAGTATACAGTCTCCATAATCTTTGGAAACTTTATTTTCCTTCTTTAAAATGATAGAAGATAAATGCATATAAACAAATATACATACACATTAGTTTGCAAGAGATGATAGCATGGTTGTAGTAGACTTTATCTTAGTTTGAAAGTTAAACCGGGAGCACTCTACCATATGGAAAAACCCAAACTATTTCCCCCAAATTTTTTAAACTTTTAAAAAGAACATACTGTTTAGAGTCTGTTGGTCACCAAATTTATCAACAATTTAGGAAAATGACTCCTTTCATGGCTCAATCAGAGCCTCATCTAAAATTCAGCAGAAATCTAAGACTTCAAGCTGCCATCCCCACTCCGGTTTCCATGGGAATAGACTTCAGATCAGGAAAAAAAAAAAATGGATGGGGCTAGGAGCTTTCAAATAATCATTCAAAAATCATGATGAAGCTTTTAAAGCTTCTTTCTTAGGTGATTATTTTGTAGTCTCTTAACCCCTTTTTGCCAGTGTGTTTCCATGGAAATATGACAAAAATGGCTGTCCGAGCGTCCAGCAGAGATTATTAGCATTCTTGTGAATTTCAGCTTTGACTGCAGTCTAGTCTGGGCAAGATCTTTTTTTTTTTTCTTATATCAGTTTTACATATTAACCTACACTCTTACATTCATTGTCTTTTTCTTCATAATATTTTCTTTGAAAATTCCCTTCACAACTGTATACCTATAATGAAGATCAAACAGATTGTGACATCACTGGAAGAGGCTTCTGTTTTACATTTTACTATGTGAGCCAGGACAGGTAGCTGCAGAGTGTCAGAACTTTTAGACACCTGAAGAAGGAAATATTCTTTAGTTACTGGATTCAGGGTCTGTCAGGTGTTAGTAGATAAACAACAAGGGGCAACAAGGATGGTATTCAAAATATTTAGTAACTAGTAAGGCAAAGCACCAACTGATCGGAGCAGCTGGCTTGCACCAGTTAATTATCAGTCCTGTTGTATAATAGCCAAGATTGTTTAAATAAAAGCTGCCCCATATATGATAGTAATCATTTTACCCAAATAAATTATCCATGGTCAAAAACCGAGCTCCTATAAAACTTACAAAAGAGCTTACAAGAGAAACTGGGTAGAAATATATAGCAATCTATCTTTAAAAAAAAAAAATCAAAGTGCATATGATTGCATCATCTTTCATATGAAGGTTATTTGAAAATCAAAATCATTCTTATTATTGAAAATATTATGCTAAAAGAGAAAGAACATAGAACCCTTGGAAGGATATCTTATGTTGAATGTGAAAAAATAAGAGCATGCTACATATATATTTTATCTGTCCTACCTTCTGAAATCTGCTGAACAGCTCAATCTATAATTTTTGCTGGGGGAAATCTTAAAGTTCTGATTGACCTTATAAAGTATTTTTATTCTTCAAAACTCTCTTATTTTTCTATAGTTGGAGCTTTTTACCCATATGGTTTGTCTTCTGAATTTGAACTGAAAAAAGGAAATTTCCATTGGTAATTATCTGACTTAGGTAGGTTCCTAATTTAAATTTAGCACAAACTGACTTACTATAGAAACTAATCTTGATTGATGATTTCTGCTAAGTGGATCACAATAATAAAATAAAGCAGCCCAATTAATTTTTCAAATCATCATTACTACTCCCAAATGCAATTTGTCCTTCTTTGCATAGTGGTTAAACATGAAGCTCTTGTGAGCAGGATTTGGTCTTCAGGCCTTCAGCCTTCAGCTTGCTTGTATAAAGCAAGTTTACTGGAACACTGTCATATCCATTCTTGTGTTTTATTTTTTTAGGTACCTATGGCTGTTCACCTACTAAAAGGATGCAGCTGAGTAGTTTCCATAGAGACCACACTGCACAAAAAGCCTATTTGTCCTTTGGTCCTTTACTCAAAATTTGCTGACCTCTGCTCCAGGGTTTAACTATAAAGATTATACCATTTCTAGAGAGGAAATTTTGTTAAGTAGTGAAGTCTTTATTTTTTCAATTCTAAAAGCAGTCTATTAATAATGCATAAACACGTGATTGCCTGGTGTCTATACTTACATCCATGAACTCCACATTGGCTTTGGGACCGGTTGTTTCATTAAGAATCTTAATAGCCACAGGAATCTTTACTGTTTCTCCTTCAGGTACCCAAATACCCTTTGAGGGAAAAATCACATTAAATCTTTATGAAGGCATATAAAAATTTATACTAGAAACAAAATTTGATTTAAACACTCAATCTATTAATTAAAACACAATTTAGAAGTTCTACATTCTTTTATTCAATCAACAAAAATTTATCAAGTACCTACTATATTTTACAAGTTACATAGCAAGTTTGTTTTTTGCTTTCATTTTCTGAGAATAATTCATAATTTATTTTGCTTTCAAGCTGTTTAGTATTCTATTATAAAGTTTTACATTATAAAATTCAATTTGTATGTGTGAAAAACACTTTCAATAATGAAAAAATGAAATAAGACAATATAATATTGGATTTGGATGATATATCAACTTCTCAAGACTCTGAGAATGATGGGGCGCCTGGGTGGCTTAGTCAGTTAAGTGACCGACTTTCACTCAGGTCATGATCTCTCCATTCGTGGGTTTGAGCCCCGCGTCGGGCTCTGTGCTGACTGCCAGCTCAGAGCCTGGAGCCTGTTTCAGAGTCTGTGACTCCCTCTCTCTCTGACCCTCCCCTGCTCATGCTCTCTCTCACTCTCTCTCTGTCTCTCTCTCCTAGAAATAAATAAAACATTAAAAAAAAAACTCTGAGAATGCTGTTTCAATTTTGGGTCTTTAATTGTCTCATTTGTAATTTAGAAGACTGGGCTAAGTAACATTGGTGTTCTTTTCAGCTTTAATATTACTTAATTATTCTGCAACTAAAACAAACAAAAAGATAAAAAAGCATATTCTCACATTCCTGAAATTTAGACTGATTTAAGAATTAGTTTTCTAAGAAAAGTACTAGGGAGTATTGAACACATATGAATTCGTTTATATTGTTCAATATTGTGTATGTATATGTCAAGGAATTTTACTATGAAATAATATAAAATATTTATATTGGTCTCTGCCAGTTCTCTCCTCCTATAAAAATATACTTATAATATCTGAACAAGGCAAAGTATAAAGTAGGTAAGGTTTGATTCAGGTACAACATTAAGGTAAATAACTGCATTTCTGAGTAAACAATTCAACTATTTGAATTAGGACAATAATTTTGATAAGATATATAGGGATGCATTGATTAGATGAGAATTTTTTTGAAGTATATTGTCCCAAAGGAACACAGAAGCAAATGTGAGGTTATATGGGGAAAAAGAAAATCTCAGATTTTAATTTTTTAGCCCTGACATCAAAAAAAGTATTCTTAATCGAGTCTTAACATTAAAATGATAGGGGAAAAGCAATCTCTTATTCCTAAAGAGACATCTCTAGTCTTTCCTAACATCAATTGGTTGTAGCTATAAAATAAAAATAAAAATAAAAAGTTTTTCGCTTTGTATTTGTATGCTAAAGCATGTATACTTGTATTATTGAAAGTTACAATAATACAAGAGGAGAACTAAACACAAGAATTATATTAAAAAATCAGAATAATAAAGAAAAAAGACCCTTTAACCATTAGAAAGTGAATTTAAGGGTTACATTTTTCTTAGAGTGAATAGGGAAATTTATATGTCAAATAAAAAAAAAAAGCATTGTTCCCTGTGGTATTTTTTTTAAATCATTAATGCAGAAATGGGGTAGGGGAAACAGTGAAAGCCCAAGATTCATAAGCTACATGTTTTTAGTGATGGTGTTGAGGATAGAGAGCAGGTTTACCATCACTCAATAAAGTAACTACAGAGGGGATGACTGTATAAATACATAGCATCAATATTAAAATATTCCTAAAGTATACTTTTGAAATAAGAATATAAATTCAGTGTGAATTAATTTGTACTGCTTTTTAAATAAGAACAGTCATTATTTTCTAGGCCTGACCAGACAAAAATTCAACTATGCTAATATTCAGGATATTCGTTCAGATCTTTTATGTTTAAACATAGCATATCTCCAACCAGGAGAAAAATCAACCAAATAATTAGTTAAGCTAATTTGTATTATGCGGTCAAGAATAGTTCTTTATATTTTAAGACAATATGTCTTTGTAGGAACTAATATATTAATTACAACTTAGGGCCAACCATACACACTACAAGCATAAAATTCAAACATAATTATGGAAACTTCAATACAAGTAATTTCAATAAGGTACAAAGTCATGGACAACAGGCAAATAATTGTTCATAATAAAAAATTCATAACACTTTATTAGTAAAAGTCTAAATGGGTAATTTTCCCCTGTTGAGGTCACTAGATCATATTTATTCTTGAGCTAAACAGTATCCATAATTTAAAATAAAATTCACTTTTCAGATCACCCATCTTAAAAATGAAAGGGTGATTGTATGCCAGGGACAATCCAAAACTAAGTTATCTTTAAATAGGAAGTCCATTATTTCTAGCATATTATAAATAGGAAAACAGGATAAGTTGTGTTTCTTCGACATTACAAAGAATTTGAAGACTAGAAAGCACCAAGTCAGCCAAGAATAGTTTCCATTCTAATTAGGTGCTCAATTAATTTTGAGTATAATTGAACAAAATATGTATACTAAAGAGATTAAGAAATTTCTTCATTTTGGTCCTAGAATAAAACAGTTTTATTCTAAAGAGTTAATTATTTTTGGAACACTCAGCGGAGAAAATTGAGATCAATATTCTACTTGTTAACATTTTTTTTGTTAAATAAATATCTGTTTTACATAGAAAAAACCCAAACTTTTTAAAATGCAAAATTTCTAAGATCCAATCTATTTTATTTTATTTTATTTTTTTAATGTTTTATTTATTTTTAGGAGAGAAAGAGACAGCGTGAGCAGGGGAGGGTCAGAAAGAGAGGGAGTCACAGGCTGAAACAGTCTCCAGGCTCTGAGCTGGCAGTCAGCACAAAGCCCAACGCGGGGCTCGAACCCACGAACCGCGAGATCATGACCTAAGCGAAAGTCGGACGCTTAACCGACTAAGCCACCCAGGCGCCCCGATCCAATCTATTTTAACAAAATGTTAGTAAAAGAAAATACAGGCTTGCATATAGCTTTAAAAAATATATAAAACTGTCAAGTAAAATTTGGGGAAATATCATAATGGACATTATAAGAAGGATTTAACACTAACCCAGCAGACGTTCTTATACTTGTTATTTGCCAGTAAAAATAAATTTCACCACAATTAACCTTGGGCCTGGCCTCTGAATTGGTTTTGTAATTAAGCTAAAAATGTAAACACGCAGATAACATTATTTGAGCTTTCCCTTTCCGAATAGATCTCTCTTATTGGAAGCACATGATGTCACCTTTCATTCTCCGACCTGAATTTCACAAATAAAATTACTTTTTTAGTTTGCATATAATGGTGAGGAGATCAAAACTGAAAGTTTTGTATTAAATCATATATGGTAACAGGTAGGCAAAAAGTGGCTTAGGAAGTAGTCCTATCCTGCTAACCAATCAGCATATTTGTGTAGATTTTAAAGAGATAGGTTAGTAAGGTCCTAATGGGGAGACATGTGGATGAAAGAGCCGAAGAAAAGGGCAAGGATTATGGGACATCACTCAGCTCTGCCTGGGATTCCATGAGACACTGTGTAGGGGGAAGGAAAATGGGTGAGAGCAGTGTATTTTAAACATGAGCGAAATTTACCAACAGGGAGATGATACCAAAAGGGGTTCAGAAGAGCATGGCAAGAAAGACTATATCATGGCTCCTTGTGACAGTTTCCCGCTTCCTCATGACTGTACCCATCGCAGCCCTCAACAAAAATGAATGAATTCACTCGTGCAGAAACTTCTCAATACTATGCAGGTTCCACTCTCTAGATAGTAAAAGGAAATTAGGTTGACAAGGGCCATAACTCTGGCTGTTATCTAAGACGAGTCAGAAATAAAACTTAAAGTAATTAATGGTATGAGTTATTTTTTACTTACTTTATAAACTGTTCCAAAAGCACCTGAGCCAAGTACTTTCACTCTTTTGAGCTCAGTTTCTTTTAAAATACGCAGTTGAGCTTGATTGGGTGCTGTGCCGCTGGGGGTTAAGGGTTCTACCAACTTCAAAACAAAAAGAACACAGATTATATAAATTTCCATTTACCAGCCAGTGCTTCTCCCTCTTCCTCTGCCTGTTTCTCTTCTCATACATACAAAAAAACGCACAAGTACACTTTCATTAACAATAGTTTTATAGTTGAATCACTAAAATTCCCTCAGTGTCTATCTTTTCTCTTCCCATGCTTTTTGCCTGGGTAAATCCAAGTATAAAAGTGTGCCTACCTTGAAGGATACTAAGCTAGGGGATTTTTCTCCCTACTTTTAAAGAAATTTAGGCTGATTAGGGGCTCTCAATCTTACTTTTTGAAGTCCTTCCAGTTTGGGTATCTCCAGCTAAGACTCAGAGATCTTAGTTATGTCCTTATACTCTAACAAAGTTTTCTTTTTTGCTTTAGGAGATTTGATACATAGAAAAATAAAATGCTGCCTTCCTAGCACTTAAAATCTAACTGGGAAGCCAGGACAAAGGGTTGGAAGAGAAGAAAGTAAGTCAGCACAATGCCAGTATCCCAGGACAGTGCTTCTAACACTTTCCTGTACATTTCAATTACCTGACATTCTTGTTAAAACGCAGATTCCGAAAAGAAAAAGCAGCTGGGGAAGCGTAGGACTGTATCTGCATAAGACAGAAACCTTGGACCAGGTCTGAGAGGGATCTTATCATCCCATCTCTAACAGCAGGGCTTTTGGAAAGAGATCTCATGTGTAACTGCAGGGCTTTCTTCGGACTGGGGCCAGCTGCACTGTTCGGACTCCTGGGGAAAAGAGGAGTCCCCTCCCGGTTCGGTGGTGGGTCAGGGGTGCAGTCAGCAGCAGGAGAATCCTAGCTCCTGCCCTGAAGTGCTGCAGCACAGCCAGGGGATCACATTTCCCACGGTATCATTAAGTGCACAGAGTGAGAGTTTAAAATCCAGCCAAGCGTGGAACACAGGACACTGCCGAGCAAGACAGCTGCCTGGTCTGTGCCCGTGGTAAAGTGAGAACAGATCCAAAGGAATGAAGAAAGTCCTGGAAGGTTGCTGTCATCTTTTTCCCAACAACCACCAAGGCGGGACCTCCGGGGTTGGTCCCGGGGGGCTCACAGTGGAGGCGGGACCCGCCTACACCAAACCACACCCCTCTACTGCTCGGTAGCCACTTATCTACTGGAGCTAGACACTTGCTGCGAAAGCCAATGGCCCCCTCATCCACCCCAGCACTGCAGAATTTCCTAGATTAACTCTAGGTCAATTCTTGTTATTATATATATTCTCCTTTTTCACCTTCTTATCTCTTCCCTCATCTAGGCTGGTTACTCTAGTTATTGGTTTGCTTAAAAAGGCATATTTAATCCTTTCTCTTGATGCATGTTCCACACTTCCTTCTTTATTTACTTTCTCTCTCTCTGGAATCTCTGGAATAATCAAGCCATGTAATTTCTCTGGATAATTTTGTTTTCTTTCTTTTTCTTTCTTTCTTTCTTTCTTTCTTTCTTTCTTTCTTTCTTTCTTTCTTTCTTTCTTCTTTCTTTCTTTCTTTCTTTCTTTCTCTTTCTTTCTCTTTCTTTCTTTTTCTTTCTTTCTTTCTTTCTTTCTTTCTTTCTTTCTTCTTTCTTTCTTTCTTTCTTTCTTTCTTTCTTTCTCTCTCTCTCTCTCTCTGTTTCTCTCTCTCTCTCTCTTTCTTTTTTTCTTTTCCTTGCCTCCTTCCTTATTCTCCTTTCTCTCTCTCTGGAGTAAGCCTTTTAGTCTCTCTGCCTGGTCAATGTTCGTTTTCTTTCTCCCATCCTGTCATTTCTCTCTTGGTATATGTTCTTCCATTAGCACCACCTCCACCCAGTCCTTTACTTGCAGCTGGTGTTTCTGGTTTTATGTTTTTAGATTGCTTTTGTTTTGTGGGGTTTTTTGTTTGTTTTTTGTTTTTTTGCTTGTTTGTTTTATTTGTGCAGTTGCATGTCTTTTTTTCCTATTGATTTGTCTGTCTGATTTCCTTTCCAGGACTACTTCAAGAAACAAACCAAACCATACCTGGTGGAGAGTCCAAAACATCACTACACATAGGGAAATAAAATACCAAAGTCACAACAAAACAGAGCAAGTAACACTCTCCAAAAAAACACCTCCTGAATGGCCAGGCCCTGAACAGTGTATGAGCCCCCTTGAATATAGCAGTACTCTCAGCTGCAGACCACATAACAAGCTTTTAAACCTTACAACGGACCGAAAACTAGCCAACATGACGAAACGGAAGAATTCTCCTAAAATTAAATTCCAGGAAGAAGTGACAGGTAAAAAATTGATCAAAACATATATAAGCAACATAACTGAACAAGATTTAGTATAATAGTCATAAAATTAATTGTGGGCTTGATAAAAGCATAGAAGACAGCAGACTCCATTGCTGCAGAGATCAAGGATCTTAAAAATAGTCATGATGAATTAAACAATGCTATAAATAAGGTGCAAAATAAAATGGAGGGAGCCACAGCATGGATTGAAGAGGCAGAGGGGAGAATAGGTGAATTAGAAGATAAAATTATGGAAAAAGAGGAAGCCAAGAAAAAGATAAATTGATCCAGGAGCAGGAAAGGAGATTTTCAGAACTGAGTGGTGCAATCAAATGGAACAATATCTGTATCATAAGAATCTAGAAGAAGAAGAAAGAGAGAAATGGGCTGAAGAGGTACTTGAACAAATCATAGCTGAGAACTTCCCTAACCTGGGGAAGGAAACAGACATTGAAATCCAAGAGTCACAGAGAACTCCCCTCAGGTGTAACATGAATCAATTTTCTGCAGGACATATCATAGTGAAACTGGCACAATAAAAGGATAAAGAGAGAATTCTAAAATCAGCTAGGGATAAAAGGGCCTTAACATACAAAGGTACACACATAAGGGTAGTAGCTGACCTATCCACTGAAACTTGGCAGGCCAGGAAGGAATGGCAGAAAATCTTCAATGTTATGAATAAGGAAAAATATGCAGCCATGAATCCTTTAATCAGCAAGCCTGTCATTCAGAATAGAAGAAGAGATAAAGGTTTTCCAGAACAAACAAAAACAAGGAATTCATCACCACTAAACCAGCCCTACAAGAGATCCGAAAGGGAACTCTATGAGGGAAATGTTGCAAAGAACACAAGGTACCAGAGACATCACTACAAGCATGAAACCTACAGATAACACAATGACTCTAACCCATATTCTTCAATAGTAACATTGAATGTAAATGGACTAAACCCTCCAATCAAAACACATAGGGTATCAGAATGGATTAAAAAAAAAAAAGACCTATCTATTTTCTGTCTAAAAGAGATTCATTTTAGACCTGAAGGACCTGAAGACACTTTCAGATTGAAAGTGAGGGGATGGAGAAATATCTATCATGCTACTAGAAGTCAAAAGAAAGCTAGAGTAGCCATATTTATATCAGACAAACTAGCTTTTAAAGTAAAGGCTGTAACAAGAGATGAAGGACATTCTATAATAATTACAGGGTCTATTCATCAGGAAAGGCTAACAATTATACACGTCTATGCATTGAATTCTGGAGCACCCACATTTATAAAACAATTAATCACAAATATAAGTAATCTTATTGATAAGAATGTGCTAAATGCAGGGGACTTTAATACTCCACTTACAGCAATGGATAGATCAACTAGATAGAGAATCACTAAAGAAACAATGGCCCTGAACGACACACTGGACCAGATGGACTTGACAGATATATTTAGAGTTCTACATCCCAACGCACTGGAATTCACTTTCTTCTCAAGTGCACATGGTACACTCTCCAAGGTAGATTACTTACTGAGTCACAAAGCAACCCTCAATAAATAGAAAGGAATTGAGATGCTAACATGCACACTTTCAGATCACAATGCTATGAAACTTAAAATCAACCACAGGAAAAAGTCTGGAAAACCTCCAAAAGCATGGAGGTTACAGAACATCCTACTTAAGAACGGATGGGTATACCAGGTAATTAGAGAAGAAATTAAAAAATATATGAAAATACAACAATCCAAACCCTTTGGGATGTAGCAAAGGCAGTCCTGAGAGGAAAATACATTACAATAAAGGCCTATCTCAGAACACTAGAAAAACCCAAATACAAAATTTAACAGCACACCTAAAGAAACTAGAAGCAGAGCAGCAAAGACATCCCAAACCCAGCAGAAGAGAAATAATAAAGATCAGGGCAGAAATAAACAATATAGAATCCAAAACAAACAAACAAACAAACAAAACAACAACAACAAAATCCCCCAGTAGATCAGATCAATGAAATCAAGAGATTTTTTGAAAAAATAAACAAAATTGTAAACCTCTACCAGGATTCTCAAAAAGAAAAGAGAGAGGACCCAAATAGATAAAATCATAAATGAAATGGATTTATTACTACCAATCCCTCAGAAATACAAGCAATTATCAGGGAATACTATGAAAAATTATATGCCAACAAACTGAACAACCTAGAAGAAATGGACAAATTCTTAAACACCCACTCACTACCAAAACTCAAACAGGAAGAAATAGAAACTTTGAATAGACACATAACTAGTGAAGAAATTGAATTAGTTATCAAAAATCCCCTCCCCCACAAAAATAAGAATCCGGGACCAGATGGCTTCCCTGGAGAATCCTACCAGACATTCAAAACAGAGTTAATACCTATCTTTTTGAAGGTATTCCATATATAGAAATGGAAGGAAAACTTCTGGACTCATTCTATGAAGCAAGCATTACTTTGATTCCCAAACTAGACAGAGACCCAGCAAAAAAAAAAAAAAAAGAGAGAGAGAGAGAGAGAGAGAACTACAGACCAATATCCCTGATGAATATATATGCAAAAATTCTCAACAAGATAATAGCAAATCAAATGCAACAGCACATAAAAAGAATTATTCACCACAATCAAGTGGGATTCATTCCTGGGTTGCAGGGCTGGTTCTATATTAACAAATCAATCAATATTCTACACCATGTTAACAAAAGAAAAGATGAGAGCTATATGATCTTGTCAACAGATGCAGAAAAAGCATTTGACAAAATACAGCATCCTTTCTTAATAAAAACCCTCGAGAAAGTTGGGATAGAAGGAATAAATGTAAATATCTTAAAAGCCATATATGAAAACCCCACAGCTAATATCATCCTCAATGGGGAAAAACTGAGAGATTTCCTCCTGAGATCAGGAACACACAGGGATATCCACTCTTACCACTGTTGTTTAAAATAATGTTGGAAGTCCTAGCATCAGCAATCAGACAACAAAATGAAATAAAAGGCATTAGAATTGGCAAAGTGGAAGTCAAACTTTCACTTTTAGCAGACAACATGATACTCTACATAGAAAACCCAACAGACTCCAACAAAAGTCTGCTAGAACTGATCCATGAATTCAGCAAAGTCACAGGGTACAAAATCAAGGTACAGAAATCAGTTGCATTTTTATACACCAATAGTGAAGCAACAGAAAGAAAAATCAAGAAACTGATCCCATTCACAATTACACCAAAAACCATAAAATACCTAGGAATAAACCTAGCCAAAGATGTAAAAGATCTGTATGTTGAAAACTATAGAAAACTTATGAAGGAAATTAAAGAAGACACAAAGAAATGGAAAAACATTCCATGCTCATGGTTTGGAAGAATAAATATTTTTAAAATGTCAATACTACCCAAAGCAATCTACACATTCAACACAATCCCAATCAAACTTGCACCAGCATTCTTCTCAAAGCTAGAACAAACAATCCTAAAATTTGTATGGAACCACAAAAGACCCCGAATAGCCAAAGTAATATTGAAGAAGAAAACCAAAACTATGCTTTGCTAGTTTTGGCTTCCTGGAGGAGGTACACTTTAAAATTGGTCTTGAGATAATACAATGCATTGACATGGAGGAGGGTACTACCAATGCTAAGAACAGTTTGGACACAGCATCAAGGAGAAAGAGGAAGACAGAAAGCAGAATGCAACAAGGGTGAGACAGGTCTGCAGGATGAGATTAGGGTGGGAAACACCAGATTGTAAAGTGGGCTGGGTGTGGCCAGATGGCATAAATACAGCTAATTTTATCTGTTCAGTTTAGCTGCCATTCAGCCAGAGGAGATGAGCAAGGAGGGAAAAGTTATGTGAGCAATGCGCCAACTTATTGCCTATGTGAAGGGAAATAAAAACAAAACAAAGAAACAAAAAAACTGTGAGATTGACTCTGGGTACCAAAAGTCTATATCCTATGGTAACATTTTAGGTTTTTATCTATGCTTGAGTAAAAAAGCAAGTGAGAGAAATAGAAGTTTCTTTTTTTTTTTTTTTAAGCTAAGTTAAAGAACTAATCTTTAAACTCAGACAAACAGCTGGTTCTTTCTCAGCATAAGGAAATAATTAAAAGCATTGCCTACTCAAATTGTCTTGAAAACCATCACAGTAGTTCACAAGGTCTGTTTACAATACTGAGTGCATCCTGACCCTCTCTGGCTTGGTTTTTATTATGCTTCTGTGAACATCATGGTCTATTTCAATAGCTGAACAGAAACTTGAGTGTAGGTAAGTGTAATGAAAATTAGCAAAAACTTGGAGAAGATGATAAAAATTATCAATAAATTTAGGCCATTCTCTAAAATTTGACAACAAATGTGCTTCTATCCCATTTTCAAAATTACATTTAAAAAATGCATATAACTGCATTCAACTCACATAAAATAAATCTTAGAATGAATTACAAAATTCTTTGAAAAACTAGAAGAAGAATTGCCTTTAGTGAATGTCCTTTATTTGAATCCAACTTTGCTGTGCAGAATTTGGTTAGTAGGTTATCTTTTTAAATCATGTAACAACTTATATAAAATCATATGGAAGATTGGGGACTAAATTTCAGCACTATGGGTAAATATCTTTAAAATAGATGCTTTGTCCCATGATATTACCTTAATTTCATGTTTTGAGAACTTCACAATTCTACCTGAAATGTTAGTCTTCTGCAATTTTCTTAGATGTCACTTAAAAAGTTTTACAAACACATTTTTCCAGGAGTTTGCACATGATGCCTCTAAAAGAGGCATTGTTTTATTTTGCATCCCAATATGGCAAAAAAGAGGGTCAAGTTTAAATTTGTAGGTTTTATACATTAGTACTGCCACTTGCAGGATTACAAAGCAATTTACCCCCTCCTTACCCCTCATTTCACACATGTGACATAGGTACGGCAATAATTATCTTTGAAGATTGTCAAAAGATGAAATAGGATGTAACATAGCTAAAAACTTTGGAACATTTCCTGCCACATTGTAGGCTCTGAATCTGTCACTCTTCAAGGGATAGGATCATGTCCCATTAACACTTTTTAATCACAGTATCTATCAAAGCATCAAGCTTACAGTGCATCTTAGTAAGTGTATGCTAAATAAAAAAAAACATTTTCTACTTTTATTCATGTAACAGAAGACAGACAATCTGGAGCGAAACCATTTTGGAAAAGCATATTTACTCTAAGTACATTCTAACAATATATCATGCCTTAACAAGTGTTTCACATCTGAGACAGATTTTTAGCTTCAGTAGTTAAGGATTTGAGTTGATCCTCTTAAGAACTCCTCTTCTATTTAGATGACAGAAAATCATAGTTATTTACTCTTCCTGAGAGAAAGATGGGAATTCTTCAATTATCTAATTTAGTGCTAAGCAATAACTTTAAAAAAAAATAGAATCTGCTTATAAAACTAATCAGTATATGTTTATTTAGTAATGAAATACCAATTTAAAGGACATTCTTAGAAAGCACCATATTAAAAAAAGAAAATACACAAAACAATTATTTTTGTAGCAATGAGCCTTTTCTCCTTGTGGTTAAGGGACAGAATTTCTTTTCTATGTATACAGTCACCTAAATAGCCACTGCTGTTCCAAGCCCTCAGCTCCTCTCCAACTCTAATTTACTTCACTTTTTACAATCCTCTCTACAGCTGCCCCAAGCTGGCCATGTGGGAGAATTCTATCTGCCTACATCATCCTAGCTAAACTGAAAATAAGCACAGCACATGTGTTGTGTCCAAACTTGTATTGATGCGCAGGGTTGAAAAATGATGAAGTTGATATATTTGCAAACATCCAGCTCAAGTAAGAGTTACTACTATTTTTTCTCATGTATGTAATTGACTACCTATCTTATGCTTAAATATCTCTATCGATGAGACAAACCATTTGAAGTTTAGATAGACAACTCCAATTAGAAATTCTTTCCTCTGGGTAACTGGAGGCACTTGAACATTTCACATGATGAGAGAGCTAAAATTTTATTCACTATAAGTTTGCAAAATTTATAAATGAATATTCTCATTTCTGTCAGTGGTAAGAGAAAAAGTCAGACTGTCACACTGACAATGAGCAAGAAAACAGACCCAGGGAAGGCTAGAACAGAATTGCTCTGAGTTTTTCAGACAGCCAGGGTTGTGTGTATCAGGAGAAAGAAGTAAGATGCAAGTTGAGAAGGATCTGGAAATGCATAGTTTTCTGCAATTGTTTTTCCCCTGTAACCTGTACAGTGAAAACTACCATCTTGTATGCTAGAGAACTCAGTGTGGCAATGTAAAAGAAATTATAATAATTTGTGGGTATTTTGAATTTTCACAACAACTAACATGCATAATATTAAATGATTCCCATAAACTGTGTGGTAAGGTCTGTGTGATTACAATACTAAGCTTTATCCTGTAAGCTCAGCTTTTTACTGCTGGGATAGTGGGAACAGTGGCTATCAATTTAATGACCCTAATTAAAGCATAAATTGCTTGCCTTTCTGGCTTTATTTTCAACCAGAAAAATTCTCTCTAACATTTTTCTAGTTCTGCTGTTGAGATATTCTCCACCCAGATATTTTCTAGTTCTGCTACTGTAATATCCTAGAACTTGCCTCTGGAATTCCTCTCCCAAAAGAAACAGATATGTCTTTTCAATAAGATCTGTTGTTCAAAAAGATAATAGCTTTGCCCCTTGGTATTTGTCCTTTTTAAGCCATGAAACTGCCTTGACTACTTTTCCTATATACTCTGACTTTTCATCAACTTTGTATATAATATAGTATGAACTCTAAGCCCTTGGCAGGAAACTGAACAGCATTTCACTTGGATTAAAAAAACTGAGTATCATCTAAACCTTCTAAAACTAATGAAAAGCCCTAAACACATGCAGAGAGGAAATAAACACCTCACCTCTGTTTCCAGAAATCTTCTCAGGGCTCTTTTCTTTTTGATGCTCTTCCTTCTAACATAAACTGCAAATGTTAGACCTACGATGACCAGGATGAAGAGTCCGCCAATGACCCCGGCTGCAATTAGAGGAGTTCTGCCAATCAGAAGAGAACAGGAAAATAACAAATAAGAGGAGAGACAAGACAGAGGAAGAAAAAGAGTGGTTGTGCGATACATTATCCACACACCACAAATCTAGTCAGTTAGAAGAAATACAAAAAAAAAAAAAAATGCATTAAAGCTGTCACAAAATTTTTCTCATGATAAAAACTATTCCCGTTTTTTGTTTTGCTTTGTTTTTTAAATAATAAACCATGCACAGACAACTAATCTTTGTAGATAAGCAGCCACAACATGCCACTTGACGAAATAAAAACAAAAATAATAAAAATAATATATATACATATATATAAGCATATATATGTATATATATATATATTACACTTAGTAACAGTATGAAGAACATATGCCAAAATATTGATATATAAGCATTTTAAATTGTTTTAATTTTACTTGTATCTATAAATAAATAGAAATATATTTTAATAATATTGTTGTGGTATATAATGATATTTTCAACATTTTCTCTAAAGCAGACTTTCTCAACAGTGGCACTATTGACATTTTGGGCTGGATACTTATTTGTAGCAGGGGACTGTCTCATGCATTTTAGAATGTTTATCAATATCCTTGGCCTCCATCCACTAGAGGACAGTAGCACCCACATTCTTGAGTCATGACAGTTTCTCTAGATACTGTCAAATGTCTGCCCAAATCACTGCCTCTTGAGAACTACTGCTCTACAGCAAAAATGAGTGGTCTGGAGATATATGAACCCCACAGTTCTGGAGCATGATGGTACTGATAAGAGAGATGTATTAACAAAAGTGCTGTTTCAAACTCTGGTAGGCAACTTTGGTAGGATATAGAGCAGGGAAAAATAAAGAATTGAGTCAGATGGGTTTTCAAAGTTATAAGGACAGAAGTATTATTATCAAAAAAGTGTGCCTAAGCATCATATACACACAGTAAAGGTCTACACATTAAGTATTGCATTAAAAGGTATAAATAGGAAGATGAAATTAGAAAGAATTAGAAGAGATTTTTCTTTTTAAATTGTTTCTTTAATATATTATTAGCTAAGATATAATTTTGAAAGTGATCACTTATTGTTTTCTAATGTAAATTTTTTTCCTTGCTTGAAAAGTAATATTTATGATCTTAACTTCTTGTTCTAGAGTAGAGTAGTATCTATGAGCTTTCTGTGGTCAGAGCCCTGAAATATATTAATTTTATATGTCATAGTAAATAGCCCAGAGTAAAAACATATAGGTATTACCTAATGCATATGTGACCAAGAAGCTGTGATAGATACTCCCTGAATGTCCATGCTTTCCATAGTAAAGTATTTTATACCTTATATTCCTATTTTCAGAAGAATCTACTCTATACAGCTACATTCTTTTAGGAAAAAAAAAAACTACTTGCTGTTGCAAAATAAACTTTTGCTCAAAGACACATCAGAAATAATGATAGCAGATGATGCTAAATAAAATTTTAAAATTTTAAAGTGCTCTTTAAAAAATCTGTGTAACTTCTATAAATGAGGCCATGTCTTTTAAAGATTATGACTGTCATATTGCTGTATAAAACTACAGAAAAACTTTAAGAAGTATTTCATCCTAAAGGTTGTTTCCTGACAGCTGAAAGTACTATAGCATACTGAAATGTTGCTATAATTCAACTAGATTTTCCTAAATGAATTTTATAAAGATATAAAAATCTATGCTGAGAAAATTAAACTGTAGTATGGACACAAACTCATCATTGTGATGTGTTTTGGCATGTGTAAGATCATATTTTTGAGCATGGCAGTTAAATATGTATCTCAGAAAACATTTTAAGATCTCAGTCCAAGGCATAATTTCTAGCTCAAGTGTTTCACATATCCCTGAAAAAGCCATTACTACACAAAGGGTTGTATTTTTGTTTCTTCTGTCCAATATTTTTATTGCAAAGTATTTATGTATGACTGGCAATAGTGCTCAACATTTTGTTAATTGTAGATTTGAACTAAACTCTAAATTTCTTCTACTTATCAATTCTGCAAAAGAATAAGTGGCATGAATTTATGAAAATAGATGTCAATGTCACTGTAAATTAACATAAAATGTTTTATTTTGTTGTTTTCCATTTTAAGAAGAATCATTTCTTTTTTTTAATTTTTTTTAACGTTTTATTTATTTATAGAGGAGAGAGAGAGAGACAGCGTGAGCAGGGGAGGGTCAGAGAGAGAGGGAGTCACAGACCGAAACAGGCTCCAGGCTCTGAGCTGGCAGTCAGCACAGAGCCCGACGCGGGGCTCGAACCCACGTACCGCGAGATCATGACCTAAGCGAAAGTCGGACGCTTAACCGACTAAGCCACCCAGGCGCCCCAAATCATTTCTTTTTTAAGTTTATTTATTTTGAGAGAGAAAGTGCAACTAGGGGAGGGGAACAGAGAGGGAGAGATAGAGAACCCCAATTAAGCTCTAAACTTTCAGCACGGAGCCTGCAGGGCTCAATCTCACCATCAGAAACCAAGAGTCTGACACTTAATACACTAAACCACCCAGGTGGCCCAAGAAGAATCACTTAGTAGAACAAAATAAGACCTCTGCTTCCATTCTTTTCATCTAATTTGGATGGATATTAATTGCGTGTCATTACTACTTAGCTTGGTCATGGCAATAAACACAAAACACTCAAATACACAATAGACAATAATTTTTATGTATTTCTTATTAGCATTTACATTTAATATTCTCACAGTAGTTCCTTGGTTGATTTGCCTTTCTTTACCTTTTTTCTTTCTTACCACTCTGCAGGAAAGGCAGTGGTAAAAACTTGAAGAAGGACTAGTTCCTATACCTTAAAATCTTACATAGATATTTTGTTGGACATTTTAGGTAGTCAAATCCTTCATATTTTAGAAGTTACTCTTGAAAAATAAATCATAAACCACAAGTAAGCAACTGTTCAACTGAGAAAGGGGGAATATTCTTTAAGACAACTTGCATGTTCTCTTTGGTAAGTGACTAGGGGAAAAAAAAGATACTGTTTTGATTATAAAGACTTACTAGTCATAACAACAAGATGTGAAATGCAATCCTGGAGTGAACCTTAGTTTTGGCAACAATTTCTATAGACAGTTTTTAGTAAACTTGAGAAGTTTGATTATGGATTGATTAGGTAGTAGATAAGATATAAAATGTTTAGCCATGAAAAGATATAGGCCAGAAATTTTATAAGATCGGGTTATAAATTTGTTCTGCAAACAAGTAGAACTTAAATTAATCCATTCACGTGTGTGTGTGTGTGTGTGTGTGTGTGTGTGTAAAAAGTCTAGAGTGATATCCAATGAGACACTAAACTGTTCTTGTCTTTGGATAGTATGATTATAGTGCTTTTATTTTGTATTTTTACTAATGGGATTTTTAAATTTTATACAATGTATTTTTCTTTGGATATACAAGTTTGTTAAATTTAACAAAAATACAGAGAAATGAAAATTGTCTAAAAGTTTAATTTCATAATAATGGGCTTGTTTTTTTTCCTTTACTGTTTACTTTGTATTTTTTTAAATTAAGACTTGATTTTGCTATCCCCTGTCCACTTTTACAATGTAAGTTCTGCACATAGTACCATTCATTTTTGTTTAATGTGTCTGAGACATTTCCCACTCACTATGTTTTGAATAATTAACATTATGTTTCACAAGACAAAGCTAATTTGTAAAGTTAATATTATTTACATATTTCCTACTCCCTCCAATTCTGATGAACCCTAGATATTTGTAGGTATAGGATAGATGCCCATTTTTCCCTAAGACTTAATGCTTCAACTCTTTATGAGAACCCTTTGGATAAAGAGGATATAGCTACATAAGTTGCTTTAATTGCTGTATATCCTTTCTAGGTATAAGGCTGGCTATTACCAACTAAGCCATATTTCTGAAAGACAGTGCTTTCTTTCACATGTGAGTCAAAGCAGCATCTTAAAAGGTGGAGATATGACACTATGCACAAGATCATAAGGGTCACACGCCAAGGGATCCAGAATATTCTGCCATCCATTATCTGTAACATGAGTATTGTTTGTTGTCATTTGCGTGTATATTAAAAATTTATGGGACCCCTAAAGTATAAAAGGACACTTCAAGTGCCAACTGCAAGCTTAGATTAAAAGGATATAATTGGGGGCGTCTGGGTGGCTCAGTCAGTTAAGCTTCAGACTTTGGCTCAGGTCATGATCTCACAGTCCATGGGTTCAAGGCCCTCATTGGAGCTCTGACAGCTCAAAGCCTGGAGCCTGCTTTGAGTTTTGTGCATCTGTCTTTCTCTGACCCTCCTCTGCTCATGCTCTGTCTCTGTCTCTAAAAAATAAATAAATGTTAAAAAACTAATTAAAAAATAAATAAAAGGATGTAATCAAATGATAATTTACCTTATTTTGTGATTCGGAAATACTATAATGAAACAGACATTCCCCCACTACTAATAAAGACTAATATAATAAAGATTTTGAATCACAAATGAACTTGGCTCATTTATTTAAAGCATATAATTTGGCTTTCATAATTTCATTTAGAAGTTCAGAGACAACGTAGTGTATTATATTCTATTGCTTTGAATGCAATTATCTGTTTTATTTTTTTATTTTTATTTTTTTAATGTTTTTTTTTTTAATTTTTTTTTATTTCTAGGAGAGAGAGAGACAGCGTGAGCAGGGGAGGGCCAGAGAGAGAGGGGGTCATAGACTGAAACAGGCTCCAGGGTCTGAGCTGGCAGTCAGCACAGAGCCTGACGCGGGGCCCGAACCCACGAACCGCGAGATCATGACCTAAGTGAAAGTCGGACGCTTAACCGACTAAGCCACCCAGGCGCCCCTGCAATTATCTCTTTTAAACAGTTATCTATAAAAGAGTAGTGCCTCCCAAAACTATATTATTCACATAATAAGATACATTCTTATAATTTATTGTTATATTTGAATCATGTTATTCCTCACTGGAGTATATAATATGTGAGAGAATATATGAAATTTGTTTTTA